CTTCCCGTGCCAAGGCGCGCTCGGGATTGAGTTTGTCAGGGATCATAAAGTGGCCATCGATTCTTCCAAGAGCCATCGATTATCCCAGAATGCTTACTGCAGCAGTGGGAAAGGTTAAAAAGCACACTGACCTCCTGCCTACGTGACACAAAGTCATTAGGTAAATGAGGTATTCATACAGGTTAGAATCAAGGTCAGGCAGATTTTATTGAAGGCGGGGGAGGGGGAAATAAACTCAGCCTTGATCTTTCGGGGGGGGGGAGGAGGGGAAGAAAGGCAGTACATCGGATCCCGAAACAACGACAACCTCCCACACTTCCGCCCTCTCCCAAAGGAAAGCCATCCTCGCCCTCTCCTCAGAAGGACGCCGTCCCCGGTTCTTGGATCCGCTGATTTTTTTCGGGGGGAGGAGTGAGGCGATCTTCTTGTTTTGGTGAGGGGTGGGATTGTGGGCACCTCCTCACCCCCTCCTCACTCCCTCTCAGGCCACGTTAAGAACTCAAGAGGCGGTCAAACTTTTTTTCTTTTCTTTTTCAACCAAACCAAAAACCAAACGGGCCGCGGCCTCCTCCTCCCCGCCCCTCCACCCCACCCCACAGTGGAGGAGAACTGATAGTGGAGAGAGATATTTATTTATGCACATATTTATCCCCTCTAATTAGAGAAATTAATCCGCTTATGGCTAAAAGGTAAAGTCTCAGGCATGCCTTTGATGTTTAATAGCGTCATTTGTGGCCAACATTCCAGCTGATTAAGGCATAATTGCTGTTAAATGCTTTACAAGGGGCTCGTCGTGGAAAGGACGGGCAGCGCTTGGAACCGGTTTCGCTGCCGCCGGGCCGCCCCCCAAAAGAAAGCCAAGGCGGACCCGCAGGCTGGGCTACATGGGACGCTGGCTTCCTACTCGGTCCGTCCGTTCCTTTTCATAACTCATACCATTTCTATAGATCAGATGATATAGGCATATATTGTACGTATTAAAATGGGGAGGGGCCCTGCCATCCACCCTTTTACCCCCGACGTGTCGATGAGGCGCTAACGGACAGGGAGTTTGCGATGACTTCCCGCTTTGCCGGATCGATCCCAGTCCACTTTTCAGGTGCTGCTGGATCGGACGGTGGCTCTGCTCTCTCCTCGCCGCCAGCAGCTACCGTGGATGGCAGGAGAGGCGATCCACCCGTCCAACCGACCGGCCATTGTGCCGGCTTTCTTTTCCTGCTTAAGCGCGGAAGACGGGCAAAAGAAAAGAGCCGCTGCCGCGGCCGGTCGGTTAGCTGGCTGGCGGATCGCCTCTCCTGCCCTCCACTTTAGTTGCTGGGGAGGAGGTTTTTGGGAGGGGGCTGCCAGGTAGGGCGGGAACTATTTCCGGACCGGGGCGGGACCCTCACCCTTAGCATTTCCAAGGGCTGGAACCTAATCCCCCCCTCCCCCGCCTGGTCCCTCTGCTCGCCTAACTTTTATATTTCTCCTTCCTTGGGGTGGTGGGAGAACCTGACCGCTCTAATCATGCTATCTCTATTGGGGGGGGGGGGGGGAAGAGAAGACGTCTCATTTTTTTCCAAAATATGTGTGTTCACCTGAAGATCCCTTAGGTGAAGCCGGGCGGTGGTCTTCACTCAAGCCGCCCCAGCCCGAGCCAACCTCCAGACAGCGCTTTTGGGCAGATAAGATGCCTGAACTTCAAGAGGAAGGAGCCAACACCAGGCGCGGTTTGGGATTCAGACGGGAGAAAAGGGGTGGGCGGGCGCAATCTTTACACATTTTCCCCTCGGGAAGCCGTATTTGGTTATGACCCGGCTCTGCAAGGGGAGAAAAAAGGAGATAAGTTAACCAAAATATTATTTTTAAATAACAACAAAAAAAATTCTTCATGATTTGGATCTTTGTGTCTCTCCCAACAACACCAGGAATCCGAAGAGGTAATAACCATAGTCCCTTCGCTTGCCTTTGGGCGGCTGGATCTCATGTATATTTACACGGAGGTAAACCCCGGACTCGCTTCAGTGTGAGGCTAGGAGCCTTAGTTTGACTCTTAGAGATCTCCTAAAGCAAGAGGGGCTTTTCAAGATGGGCTTTTTGATCCAAACACAATAATAAAGCATTTTGATGTGCGTATTTCCTGCCGCTGCAGAAACCAAAGAATCCCCCCCTCTGAAATCTGAATCTCCCTTCATATTTCACACAGGTGGGCTTTCTTAGGTTGCCCCGTCTACCTGACATTCGCCCGATTCATTTCTTCGCAGAAATGGTCTGTTATTTCAAGAGCTACTTCGGATATTTAGCCGGAATTAAAATTCGGCTGAGAGCAAATAACTTGAAATGCAAGCAATTCGCAGGCTGCTTTTAAGCAGAAGCAGCTGTGTTTGAAGACGATCGGAAGGCTCGCTGGCTTCCGCGGGTCTCAATCGGCTCAAGTGGAAGAAGAAGCGGCTCCGATCAAAATATTTCTGTGGAAATAAGACTGTGAAACGGCCAGGAGTTTAATCAGGTCGGAAAGGCAAGGGTGACACGACATATCCCTTGTTACAAGTTAGACGGGAAGAACCGGGAAGGAGAGGAGTGGGGGGTTGATGTAATTGTGCGGGATCTTTACTTCTGCTTCAGTAAAGGAGTCCTGAATCTTTTGATTAAACTGACAGTTTTTTTCCCTTCCTTCTCTCCCAGAGATGGGGAAAGGCGTGTGGGAGTTGAGGGGGGGAGGGAGAGAAGAAAACTGGAGGGGGGATTTTATGTAAATGAGCAACTCCGAAATGTATTACAAATCCACTGTAATAAACCTGACAGTTTTGACAGTATTGACAACATAAATATATGTTGGAACACTGCACTTTCAGACACTTAAACCGATGAAGCAATAAAAAGATTCGACTACAATATTTCAAATAATCGACATTGATGTTTTGATACATCATTTTTATACCTCCAATCGATCCCCCCCTTCTCCCTGTGACCGGTCAATTTTAAGTAAAAATCTACCGTAATTATTTACGCTATTGCCAATGACGACCTAATAACTGTTTTCAATTAATTACAGCATAGCTAAGCGCAGGGAGAACCGGCCAGACCGTGTGTCAGCGAAAGGCCCTTCTAACGGGGAATAATCAACCTGGCTCCTATACGGCATCTTTTTTGCAGTTGGGGACGTGGGGGGGGGGGAGAAGAGGGTTTGAAATCAAAGAAAAAGGTGTACCAAGCAGCCCTGTTGACTAAAGAATGGAAAATTAAAAACGGAATGGTGTGAGATCGGCCGGCACAGAATGCTTTCTTCTCCAGAAGACACCTTATTTTGACAGCTCCAGCTTAGGCCTTCAAGAGCCACACGACGGTTCGCAAGAGATTCCCCCCACCCCGCCGCTGCCGCTTTTTTAAGAGAGGAGGTGGGTAGCTTATTTGAGGGGGGAAAAAACTTCCAGAAACGGGACCTTCCCTTCAAAGGATGTCTGAGGATTTGCAAAAGAGTTCATGTACAGGGGCTGGATTAAAGGCGGGGAGGGGGGAAGAGCATTCCTCGAGGAAGGGAAATTTAAAATTCTGTACAGGGTAGTTGAAAACTCACCCGAAGCTGATTTGAAGGACCACAGCAGGACCTGAAATCCTAGAATTTTGGTTAAATAAAACTGTTAGACAAGTTACTGGGAAGAACTAGAGCGCCATTGGGGTCTGATGAAGTTTACAACTTGCCTAAAACCAAGCCAAATTTTCTGTCCTGTTAAAAAAAAACAACTCAGTTTTTCTAGCAGCAATTAAAAGGGGGTTAAACTATATTGCCTGCCCTAATAATGCCAGGGATCTGCTGCGTTCTTGAGTGGGTTATTTTCTCTTTTTCCCTGAGCATAAACAACCAGGTTAAGATCCTTATTCCGAAACAAGAGGCTGGCCGCCTCTGCCCTTTTTTCTTTCTCAGAATCGACAAGACAAAGGGCCGATGATCTATTTGTCATTCAGTCGGCTTTTAGGGGGAGATTGCGTTTAAATCGGCGGGATTGACTGTGCAAAGGCGGTCTAGGTTAGAAACCACGCCACAAACCTCATGGGAATCGGTGCCATTGAAACAGATGGAGCTCGCTTCCAGAAATAGACCGATTTAAAATCGTGGGGGTTTGGGGTTTAATCCAACGAATTTCTTTGCGAGGCCAAAAAATTCCTACAAGGATTATTAGAAAGTAAGCCATTGTGGCGAAGGAGGGAGGCGGAGAGGAAACCAGGTGAGGTTTATTCTTGATCTCCTGACTTTCTGCGGTCAGTGAACTCTTGATTTGGCACAGTATCTCCGTCTAAAACGACTTTCAGGTCCGCGCCCGGATCCCATTTCAATGCACAAAGAAGCGGGAGGAAAAAGCACTCTGAAAAAGGCTTGGTGGAAAGGCCACATTTGGAAAGTGCTGGAGTCCCGCCAGATAGCGCTAGAGGGCTGTTTATGGAATCGCTGCTGCAGTTCAGAGGGATTTCCACAGAATAAACAGAAGAGATAAAGAAATAAAGAAGGGGGGGGTGTCCATTCTACAAGTGCCATTTTAATTCCTAGAGGTGTTTAGGGAGTACAATAGAGGCTTCAAGTGAATACTTAAAAACCTTACGTTCGTTATAATTTGGGGAGGGAGAGGAGAGGACAGTGATTCCTACAAAACAAGGGTGCGAGAAGGTAACAGGTAACTGAACCAACATTCTACTAATCCAAGTTTCAGAGATTGCGATCTTATAGCAAGAGAGGTCAATAAAAGTTCAACCTGATGGGCTCGCATTGGCTTCCGTGGGCTTTTTAAAAACTTTGTGGCAGGTTGCTAGAAAAAGAAAACAAAAGTGAGTTTTAACGCGAAGGGGAAGGTAGGATGGGATAATCTTCCTCTGACATTCGAAGTGGGGGAGATTTTAAAAAGAAATAAAGGAATACAGTTATTTTAAAAACACAGTGGCATGTTTTAGCCACTGTCTTAAGAAGATACATATTTGGTCTTGGGAAGTGTATGCATGCACGTGGAAAGGAGAGATAAGCAAGAAAAAGAAAATATAAATATACTGCCTCCCATCTAATTCACAGAAACCTAAATAAAAATATCAAGTCTGTCTCATAAAATTTGCAATTAAAATACAGATGTATAGGGTCCCCCCCCCCAGCCAGACAGTGTGAATTTGAGTGAAATCTGGGTGACTTTGGTCAGTGACACTCATAGTGAACAACTTTGGTTTAATAGTTTGTGGATGTGAGTAAAGAAGCATTTTTAGATTTTGGAAGGTAAACAGTACATTGTTCCCATTATCAAATAAGCTTCATAATTAGTAGAGAATACTTATAGCAGAAGAACATTATCAAGAGGAGATGCCTCAGTTATTCTGACCAGTATTCCATAATTTATCCCTGGAACTGAATTCAAATTAAAATATGCAAAATGGCCCTTATTTTCCCTATATTAAAAATGGGAGCATTTTCTTGATACAATTGGCATCAAAAAAGGTTCCCTTAATTTCAGCAAACAAGCAAGCACCAAATAAAGTATCAAACAAGATTACGGCTTAAGTTATTTGCCGCTCAAGTGAGGTGGCGATCATTCTAACAGATGTAAAAAGGTTAAGAGGATTTAAACCATGAGAATTTAATAAAACCAGATTAACTACACTGACTTTCCAAACTGTTAAAGACCCCCCCCAAAAAAATTAACGGCACCAGACAGTACCTATTAGAATATATAAATAGCAAGGGGTAGGAGATTTCTGAACGCTGATGAATGCCACTAGGATCTCAGTTCCTCCCTCAAAAAACAAGAGTGGGGGAGAGGTTTTTATTCTCAGGGCAATTCACAGAGAGCAAAAGAGAAATAGACATATATTTTCAGAATCTTAAAAGTTACCTGTTGTGCCATTCCAGTCTGTCAAAAGAGAAGGATGAGGATTCTGTCCTCCTCACCGCCACCACCACCCCCCAAAAAAAGACAGCCCAGTGGTTCACATTTCACCCTTGGCTTGTCAAAAATAGACTCTCGAAGTTTTAAAGGATTTCCTACCCTGGTTCCAAGAAGCAAGGCGGCGATTGGGAAGGTTGAAGTGAATAGAGCATGAGCATCCATTTTTATCCCGGAGCGCTTGTAAAATGCGATTTGGTGGAGATCTTTCGCCTACTGATTGTCTCTGCATTGTTTTTCTTGAAACAGATCTTTTGCCCTTAATGAATCCCCACACAGCTGGACGGCTTCTTGGCGGACACTGAGAACCCTAACCCCCAACTGACCCCAATTTGACACCACAAGATGAAATTTTACCGCCTGTTAAAACCATTTCCAGCCTGGGCCAAAAGAAAAAAAAAAGAAAAGAAAAAGAGTGAAGAGAGAGGGAAGCTGACCGCTGATGGAGGAGCATTTCCACACCCGGTATCTAAATTCTTATTTTAAAAAAAAGACTTGTGGGTCAGCTGCAGCAAAAGGAAAGCCACGACCGCGTCTTCTCTGTCCCCACTTTGGAAGAGGGCAAGTCTTTGATGCGTCCAGTCATGTTTAGGAGTCCTGTCAATAAGCCCTCGGGGTCCCCGGTTCTAAACATAACTTAGGTGGGAATCCGTCCCACTGAAATGAGAGAGCCTTTATTTACTTCCGATTGAACCTCCCTAGACTCTGTATTCGTTTCTCACAGAACACCTCCGAAGAAAGCCACTGGTTCCCCCCCTTTTTTTTCCACCTGCACTCGGAATTCCGAGGGCACCTTGTTGTTTTTTTAAAAAAAGATGACCAAAGATTTACGTCCATTGTCTCAATTTAGACTAGCCTTCATCTGAACTATTACAGTACTCTGAAAAAGTGTGAATAACCAACCTGAGGAAAAACCTCGCTTAGTTTACTGCAGTCCTCAAAAGACACGAGAATGACCATGAAAGAAAGAAAGAAAGAAAGAAAGAAAGAAAGAAAGAAAGAAAGAAAGAAAGAAAGAAAGAAAGAAAGAAAGAAAGATTCTTTCAGGTAACTCCAATTCTCCCAGGAAACTTTAAGCCCCTGCAGACGTTTCAATAGAAGAGGACAGTAAAACCGCTTAATTTGAACAGGAAGACACAAGAAAAATAAAAGCAAAAGTATTCGAGACTGCAGATATAATCTCACTGGTTAATCTTCAAGAATATTTTTAAGTTAAAAGGAAAAGGGTGGGTGTGTTTTTTATACCATACGCCGAGGTGTGTTGGAACGCAATTAAATGCAAAAGTGTTGTGTAGATTAACGTTACAGAAGTTTAGTTAGGTGGGACTCAAGTGATTTGATCGAACAACAAATCCACAAGCTTTTCTCCCAATACAACCGAGTCTTATCAAGTTCATTAAAGTCTCTCGTGGCCCTGGATTTCTTTCTTTCTTTCTTTCTTTCTTTCTTTCTTTCTTTCTTTCTTTCTTTCTTTCTTTCTTTCTCTCTCTCTCTCTCTCTCTCTCTCTTTCTCTCTTTCTTTAGTTCCTTCCTTCCTTTCTTTCTCAACCTCTGAACTCTTCGCCGCCACCCTACGTCCCGCACTTCATTCTAGCAGAGACATAGATATATCCGCTGCTGGGTAGCCTCTTGCTGTTCCTACTAGGTTTAAAGTAGTTTAAAAGGTGTCCTAGAAGGCGGCATTGTGCTGGTTGTATTGCAATACAAAGCGATTCCCAAGGAATTTAGGAAAGTGACATTTTCAGAAGAAGGGGGGGAGGGAGCCTCAGTAAACACCATTCATCGAAGAGTAGATCTCTTTTAAAGCAATCTGTTGGAGGAGTCCAGCTGCAAAAGTAGGAAAGGATTTGCATAACCTACTGCTCTGTAGGTCTCCGGGCACCCAAAGGATTAACCAAGTATTCATTACCATGAATATCTTGAACTGCATTACCGATTTATACGACAGAGTAGAAAATACTACAGAGCAACAAAACACCCCATGTCCTTTTTTAAACACTCCCCACGTCGTCGTCGTCCCCCCCAAAAATACCCCCACGACTTAAGCACTGCTTGAAAGAGATCTACATACCGAGGACGGGTTTACTCACCTTTCTATACGGTCCGGGGCAACTCAGCCAGAGAGGATAGTGGTTGCTCTTAAGAATGGCTTTAATCTTGGAAGAGGTCCTCTAGAGGGGAAAGGAAGGGGAGGGGGGAAAAAGAGGGAGGAAGACAAGCAAAAAGCAGCCCACTGGGTCTGGCTCTCGAGCTCCAGAAGGTGGTTCAAGAGTGCGCGCAAGTGTGGCTTGAAGTCTGGGCGATACTTTTCCGCCTCTGCGCCCGGCTGTCGGGGGAACGGCGCGCCCTCAGCCCCGTTCCTCACGCCGAGCGCTCTCGGAAAGCGACGCCGTGCCCGATGGCGTTCGCCAGCCAGCCAGCCTCTCTCTCTCTCTTTCTCTCTCTCTCTCCCCTCGCTATCTTTCTTTATATGTGAGGGCTGATTTCCCGCAGACATCATTGTTATGATGGCTCATTTAATCAAACTGTTTAATTGCTCCGGTAATCACTATCATCATCACAGGTACTCAATCATTCATCATTTTGGAGGGCTTTATTGACCTCTGGAGCACATTCCCTTTGCCCATTAGAAACTGGCCAAATTTCTGAGCCACCTCCCTCCTTCGGCGATTTTGGCGCCTATTCCCCCCCCCCAACTTTGCTTTCAATGGGACCCTGCCGCTGCGCGAACGGCATACTCTCTCTGCAGCTCTCCCCTCTCTCCAGAGCCCGGCTTAAACGGTGTGGCTGTTGTTTGTTTTTAAAAGCCAAGTTATGTACGAGGCCGCATTCACAAGCAGAGACATAATCATTGATAAATCCCACTATTAACAGGATAGCCCGGCTAGATTTTATGTGTGTGTGTAGAGAGAGAGAAAAAACAAAACAAAACAAAACAAAACGAGAGAAAGAGAGAGGGAGAAAGGGAGGGGGAGCACGAAACTGCAGCAATCAATAGTTTGACCATCGCTCCTCCCCTAAACTTCAAGCTTTCCCCATGATTGATGATCGCGGGTAGCTTTGGTAATTGACTGCTCTGAGGTAAGCCATGTTTTAGTTCCAGCAAAGTGATTGGAGGAGGCTGTATACACACAAAATTAACGTGGTCGCCAGAGTTCCCAAGTGCGTGCGTGCGTGTATGTGTGTGTGTGTGTGTGTGAGAGAGAGTAGGGGAGAGAGAGAAGGGGTAAGAAAGTGTGTTGCGAGCGGTTTCGAAAGTTCATTTGATCCTTGAGAACGGAACAAGGGGGCACCATCTCACTTCATTTGCTGAATAACTTGGCGGCAATCAACCTAGCCGTTGCAGGGACTATACTGAAAACACAGGTGAAGGCGTACACGGAGAGAGGGAAAGAACAAGACTGCAACTTTGGGCGGGATGAGTCCCACTTTTAAAAAAAACTGCATTCAAAATCTGCCTCGCAGTTTCACGAGAGGAGGGGGGGAAAGGGAGTGTGATTTTTGCCTTTCAGTCTCTACGCAGCGTCAAAAGCACAACCTGGAAAGATTTCCTTTGAGACTCCGCCACCCCACCCCACCCTAGCCCTCCTACCCCTGCCTCCCCTACCCCGCGCGCGCCAGGCCCCTCGCCTTATTGACCTCCTGCAACGTGGATGGATGGAACCGAACATTTAACGAAGAGCGCTGCCCAATGGGATCGGCCTCCTCCTGAAAAATTGATCTGAATAATCACAACAACCAAGGTAGCGAATTTATACAAAAAGGCACACACAGACAGAGCTTCTGAAAGGCCAGATTTCCGCAGAGGATGGCGGACTTTGTTAAGGCCGGCTAGTTCCCGCTGGCAGATCAACTTTGCATGCTCAAGCCCCCCTCGCCCCCCCCCACGTTGCCTCCGTTTAAACATTTGCAACTGCCCGAGTTCCTTCGGCTCACGTCGTGGCCCCTGAATCGCTGCACTGCTAGAAGTAGCTTCGAAAGCGGGGTGGCTGGGGGGGGGGGCAGCAAGACGAAGCGCGGGCTACAGAACCCGCTTAAGCAGAAAAGGATGTTGAAGGGTAACATAATCTAATAATAATAATAAAAAAAGCAAACCCGATCTAGGCTTCAATGGTACTTTTTTATCCCCCCTTCTGGCTTTTTGCAGTTCCCCCACACGCAGGCAGCCTACCTCTTTTTCTCCCTCTCCCTTTCTTTCTTCCTCCGCCTGTTCCTCCCTCTTTATCCCACACTCTCCCTTTCCTATCTGAAAACGTTGATTTGCTATGGGTATGCATTTGCTGTGTGGCTCGCTCGCTCGCTCGCTTCCCCCCCCCCCCCCCCCCCCTCCGCCCGCCGCCCCGGTGGCGTGGAAGCAGCCCTGATTGCATACTCTGCATATCACAGGCTTTAAGCGCTCGCTCGCTCGCTCTCTTGCTCTGTGTGTGCTCGCGCTTTGCTCGCTCGCTCGCTCGCTTCTCCTCTCCCTCTCCCCTCTCCCTTCTATGTGTCTCTGCTGTAGGACTGGCTATGGCCACCACTACTTCCGGGTTCCGTCATTTCATTCTCCCGCCGATCAGCGCAGCAAAACTGAGCCTCTTCTATAAGCCAGCCAGCAGCCAACCTGCCAACACTTACTGACACTCACTCATCTCAGAGGGAGAGGTGAAGAGGGAGACAAAATACCTACCGGGGAAAAAAAAAAAGGAACGGAGGAAGTCCACGTTTTGCAAACTATTCCATTTTTCTTCGCATCCTACTCCACCCTCCCCCTCCCGGTAGTTAAAAGAAAAGAACCTATAGCTTTCCTACAAGGCAAGCCCCAAACGCGGAGTTACTGAGAGAAGAAACCGAGGTTAAAAAGAGTCCTCTTTTCTTCTTCATCATCATCAGCCATCATTCATTCACTACCTTGACATTCCATGGCTTTGATTGACAGCTGGAGTGGCAAAAAGCCATGAGACACGACAGTTTGGTTACATGTGGGTTGCTGACGGGCCGATCGTAACCTTCAGTTTGGGGGCTTGACGATTTTTTTAATTTTTTTTTTAAAATTATTGTTATTATTATTTTTTTAACGTAAAGGAAGAAAAAAAAGGAAAGAGACACGGAAAGGGGAAATAGAGAAGACCGCGCGGAAAAAAGAAGAAATATCACAAACTCGACGTGGGTTTTTTTTTTGCCTACTTTTTATTGTTTTTGCTGTTTTCTTTATGATTATTTACACGCATTGGAGAAGTCTATAAGTGGGTCGGAAAGACAAGGGGAAACAGGGATTCTTATTCTTCTTCAATCACTTTTTCGTTGTTGTTGCTGGACTGGGATATTAAATATAGGAGGACACATCCAGGAGTTTATTGGAGCGCAGACTGATGGCGCAAAGGGTAGGTTTAAATCTCCAGCACTTACCTTTACGTATAATCCTCTCTTAAGAGGGGCCTGTCGGATTTGCTCTTCTCTGTTGCCGTTCGCTGCTCATGGCGGCCACGACTTAAAAGCAAAACAACAAAGCAAAACAAATAGCAGGAAAAAAATTATTCACCAGTTGTGTGTGTGTGTGTGTGTCTCTCTCTCTCTGTGTGTGTGTGTGTGTGTGTGTGTGAGTCCCTCTCTCTCTCTCTCTCTCTCTCTCTGTGTGTGTGTGTGTGTGTGTGCGAGCGTGCGCCTCTGTGTGTGTGTGTGTGCAATTGTTCCACGCTTCTTTCCTCTCTAGCTTTTCCCCCAACAGCGCGATTTCCCTGCTCCTCTCTAGCTGCTCAGTGGCGCGGGGTTCACAGGGGGGAAGGCTTGCCTGCCTGCCTGCCTGCCTGCCTGAGTCTGCTGTGGCTGTGGCTGTTCTCCTGCTGCCGCTGTTGCCGCCGCCGCTGACTGGGAAATACAGATACAGTTGCTGCTTGGTTTGTCTCTGGTTTTGACAAGGACAAGGGGGAACTGCTTCTAAATAATGTTTCTGGTAACTTTCTGACTATTTGCTCCGTCTCCAAACCCGTCGCTCTTCTCTCTCCCTTCTCTGCCCTCTTTCCCATACCCTAATCCCTCAGTATTAATGTTTACTTGTGGGCTGTTTGTTTATTTGCGCCCCCGTCTCTTCTCGTTCCAAGATGATTCTTCGCTTTTCACGCTTCCAATTTCCTTTTCTTTTTTAAAAATTGTTTTGTCCTCGACAGGTCTTTCTTTAGGAGCAACACGAACGCGCAGACACACACACACACACTCTTTCCTCCTTGGTCCTCTGCCCTTCCCCCTACTCTAAAGACTACTTTTATTTTGATTTCAGTTTGTAAAGCTTTTCTCTCTGTTGTGGCTAGTCCTGGTTTGTAGTTTTGCTCTGTTTTGTCTGACTTGTCTGGGTGCTTTATTCTCTTCTGACTTTTTTGTTGTTCTGTTTTTTTTATTATTTTATCTCTCTCCCCCACCCCCTTGCTGTTTCTCCTTCATTCTCCCTCTTTCCTCTCTCTCTCCCTCTTTCTCTCTGGTTCTCTTCTTCTTCATCATCTTCTTCCCTTCCTCTTCTGGCCCATTTTCTTTTTGACAGTACGATGAGCTGCCTCATTACGGCGGGATGGACGGAGTAGGGGTACCTGCTTCCATGTACGGAGACCCTCACGCCCCCAGGCCGATCCCCCCAGTCCACCACTTGAACCACGGGCCGCCGCTCCATGCCAGCCAGCACTATGGAGCCCACGCCCCGCACCCCAATGTCATGCCGGCCAGCATGGGATCGGCTGTCAATGACGCTCTGAAGCGGGACAAGGATGCAATCTACGGGTAGGTACGAGGCAGGGCAGCCCAGGCACCAGGGCCCGCTCCTTGCAGCGTTGTATGTGTTTCAGTGGGCGAGCGTAGAAGGGACGACTCAGAGAGCTTCTCGTTTCAGAGGACGAGCGATCGCTCTTAAAAGAGTTTAGAAGGGTCCTGCTTCTACAAAGGCAGGGAGAGAAGCAGAAGATATTGGACAGGCTGCTTTAAAACAGCCTCCCCTTCTTCAGATCCTGGTCGTTTTGTGATCTAGAGGACACATGTAATTTGTCTCTAACTTACTTTCTGGGTTTGTAAGTGATAGGAATATTTCAATGTCCAGTGTTTTGGGTGTAGAAGGAATGTCCCTAAGCATCTACATGGGAAAGTATAAGAGAAAAATTAATGGAGGGTATATACATCTAGGCCGAGTGTGTATTGTTGTGGTCCTAGAGGTAAATTAGTACTGCATTTGAGTTAAGTTAAAGCAGGGTTGCTGCAGGCGGCCTTAACCTTCAGGCACACAGATCTTAAGTCCTTACAAGTAAATTCATTAGAAATAATTGACTTCCAGTTATTTAAAACCAGGGAGTGAGCCTAGCTTCCCAAGGACATTTACACAGATTGTAAGTTCTATAGAAACCAGCATGCATTATTTCTTTAATTTATAAAGGAGTTGTAAATATGATAGAAAGGTTACTCCTTGAAAACAACTCCCTTCGGAATGGTCGAAAATAAATTAGGAATAGAGAGGCGAGTGTGTCAACATCCTCAGTCAAATATTTTCAAGCACTGTATTTGGGAAGATGAAACTACACTTCAGTACACTTTTGCTTGGAGAAGTATTAAATTACTCCAAAACAAATTCTTGGAGCCCTTGTACCAGAGTCCTCTGAGCAAAGATTAAGAATTAAAAACTGAAAGGCACTTTAATGTTTTGACATTTGCAGTCTCC